ATATATTTTATCAAGTGACTTCATATGTAATGAATGAAGAAAATTATTTGTAATCATATGAATCAGGTGAAATCATATGAAATCAAATGAAATCATGTAATCTGTGTGATAACATTTCAGTTAGTGATTACTCCCTCGGGTTTGACCTTGGATGGTACTGTCAAGGTGAAGGAAAGGTCACTTTAAATTTCTTAAATGGAATCCCCCACTTTTTATTGCATATTCTTGTAGCTTATCTCAAAATCTTTTTAAAACACTATAAAATAAAATGTAAATAAAAATTATTCTAATAAAATATTTTTCCATTAAGCACTTCTCGAGTTATAAGGCTCAAATATTACAACATCGCCGGCATTAGCATTATCCAAGGTGTCCGAACAATAGCTAAAATCCTTTGAATGTTGTTCAGGATCATGACCTTGACAACATATGTCAAGGTTAAGACCATTAAAGGTTGTTGCTCTTATTTTTATTTTTTATAAAAAAGAAGAATAATTTCCAGCAATCATGATCTTGACATATGTTGTCAAGGTCATGATCCTGAACAATATTCAAAAGGTTTTAACCATTGTTCGGACACCTTGGATAATGCTAATACCGGCGATACTATAACATTTAACTTTATAACTCGAAAAGTGCTTAATGAAAAAATATTTTATTATAGTGTTTTGAAAAGCTCGCGAAATAAACTACAAGAAATAAATAAGAGAAGCAATGGGGGGTTCCATTTAAGAAATTTAAAGTGACCTTTTCCTGACCTTGACAAATCCATCCAAAATCAAACTATTGGTATTATTTTATGTCCTTGAAGTCATACAACTTTTGTCTAAGTATTTTTCAATTCCATGTCTTATTTTCGAGATATTTTATTTCATATCACTTAAAATGAGTCATCCTGTACATGTGTACACAGGGTGGGCCATTTTAATATCCCACTTTAAATATCTTTTTTTCTAAGCCTTTTACCAAAAAATATTTGAAATTGTTGAAGTTTATACGAGAGGTCTGGAATAAAGTAGGTTGATCTCACTGTTTAACACGTGGTTGCTATTTAGAAAGTGAATTTATTCTTTTTGTACAAAAGGCATACGCAAGCCTTCGGCTTTTAATATTTTAAATGAGCAGAAAACAAGAGAGAGAACATTACAAAAGAATACTTTTATAATCTTGACTTATTTGATACTCAGTCTCGTAATTCCGCACGACAGCCGGCTGATCAGCAGGATTCGCACTCTTTCGCACATGTTCTCTCACATCAGGTGTGTACACCGCAACGGTCGTTCGAGAAAAAAGAAGATTCCTCGCTCTATCGCGACATCGCGGCGCTTCGCGCTAATTACCAACTCCGTCAATGCGGTCGTCAACCGAAATTACTATAGATATTCAAACCATATTTCAACAGATAAAAGTTTTAGGATTTTAAGGGGCACATTAGATAGTAGTATTATTGTGACTTTAGATGGCGTCGCCAAAGTCAGATAAAAGTCACATTGATTTTTTAAATATAAAACACCCTATTTTTTATTCCAGAATCGAAAGAGCA